TGTTATCGAATTTGACTTTCTGAGCACAACTAAATGCTTCCTTTCATGAATTTATTCGTTATAGATGGATCCATGATTATTTAATTGTATTACGTTGAATTTAATTAACCTTTTCTTGTTCCCCTTTTAACATTGAAACTCACTGTATATTCGCTGTTGTTAAGGGACGCGATTATTGACCGTTTCGGTAATCTTCAGTCGGCTAATGAGTTCAGTGGTGGGCGGGCACGGTCGACATCTCTTTTCGTTGATCTTCTTCGTAGCAGTCTCGTGGTCTGCGTTTAGCATTTAGGTCGATAGAATTGTAAAGCGCCATTGGAAGTTTGCAAGCCAATTTCATTTCTCCATTAAGCGTGGCGAATATGCGAACGCTGTTCCAACATCCTGATGAGGAAATTGCGTCAGTCTATAATCGATTGTACTAAGAAGCGAACGTCTTGGGTATCAATAGTATCATTAATTTGACTTGATGTTACACTTTCTATGCATCATGTTTCTCTTTTCCACGTAGGCGTATCGATTTTGTTTCAGGCATATGCGGACATGTCATAATGAAAATTACTGTCCCTCCTGACACAACACATTTCTGTTTGTGAGGGTACCCTTTGGGAAACTATGCTTTGCTTTACTGTTCATCTTTTCGTGGCAACGTCTAAATATCGCTTTAATGAGAAAAGTAACCAGAGCGCAATTAGCAGTCGGTTGACATTTGTCTAACAGTGTCCCGTCGGTAATGAACACTACTCAGAATAAGCAGTTAAACCGATTTTGGCATTGACATCATGATTTGACGCTGGTAAATGGCGTTCAGTCTACCATAGCTGTTGCACTACATCTACTATGGGCAGTTCGCACCATGTACAAGAAATATGTAGCTAGCGGCGATATTTGCTGACGGCCAGTAATCGATTTGAATAGATAAACGATTCCATTTTGAAGTGCACTCAAGTTGTTTGTTTGCTTCTACCAAGTTATCTGTCTGTCTTAATGGCCAAGGGCTCTGTCGTTGAGCAGACAGGAATTGACGACAGGCATGTTGAAGTCATCAGTAGTGGACATGGGGTACTGAGAATGACGTGGATTATGAAGGAGGTTATGATCCTGATGCTGAAGATGATTAATGTGGTGACGTACATTGGAAAGTAATTATAGCAATTATGAATTTCGCTGACGTTGATCATAATCACCCAAAATTATCATTTCAAACAGCAAATCGCAGGAACGACAGCTGTTTTAATTGTTTTAGAACATAAAGGCATTGTAGATTGTTTGCTGTGGCAGTTTGCCGTTACGGAAATTTGACTTCAGCGAGTCATATTTGTCTGTTATTAGCGTTGTGCAGTTATGTGGACGTTAACTGCTTAACTAGAGCGCTTCAAACTCTCTGCGGAAGAGAGAACAAGATTTTAAGCACACTGCTGCAACTTTCCCACGAGCGAATTGATGATGGTGGCTTCTAACCCGTGAAAGCAGTCACTAAAACTCAGGTGACTGTTTCTTCTGATTGGGAAGAACTTCAGACTTTTTATGAGTGCTCCGTCTTCTGTCCAGAGGCATTTTTAACGAAAGTATAAAAGCCTTAAACACGTTAGAGGAGAAACAGCCCATTTCTGTACTAACTGGCGACTTCCAGCAAACAGGAATAAGAAAGTAAGTCAGTGAAGGCGGAAAAACATGCAGGTTTAAAGTAAGTGAGCAAAACAATGCATGGGTGAAATTATATTTTTTAAGTGATATTACTGTGAATGAAAATGAACAATCAAATGTTATCGCGTGGCAAATGTTTATTTCTAAAGAAACTTTAATAGCTATCATTTTGCTAACCATAAAATGATCAAAGTCATCCTCGTCTAAATGAGTATATTATTCGAGGAATTCAGAATAACTAATAATGCTTATTATTAACAAATATTTTTGTTTGTTCTCTCTCTCCAAGCTACCAAAGGCTCAGGTTACAACAGACAGATCTTGACTATTTTTGGTTTGCAGAATGCTGTTAAAATTTCATTAGCAATTAAATGTTTCCACGCGAGTGGCTATTTATAGGTCGTCTAGACGTTCAGATATTAGTAAAAGTATTAGGGGTGATTTTAAAAGTATTTAAGAGTGATTTTAGGCTTGTGCCCAAAAACACTGAATCAGAAGATCAACCCCATTGTTAAGTGCGTGACGCAAAATCAGAATGAAGTTCTAGAATCATGAGAGTTGTTTGTTCCCTACAGCGTATGAACTAGCCGTTCTTCTACCTTCACGTTTTGTCTTTCACCTTTTTCTTAACATCTTTTGTTCGCTGCCCCTCTCTTTACAGTGATTTTCGTACGTTTCATGCTGTTTCTTTTGATGATTGATCATGTGGACCATTAAAGTTGTTGAGCTTTTTGTCCTTGTAGCAGAAACAGTTAACAGCGCTGCAATCAAGTGGGATGAATGGTTGGACTGCGAGCTGTTCAGGATCCGTTCACCCGGTCAAATTGTGGAAATTCACGAAAGGCTTTCTTCTCCATGGAGGCGAAGGTTAGTTTCTACGTTCGAGGCGGCGATGGCTAAGTAAATAATAACGAGCCTTTAACGTCTCAGACTTCCTGAATGAATTCGTGTGTGCATTTATTGTACGCAACAGTGTGATTTTAATTTCATGCGATTCCGTGTACTTAATAGACTTGTAGTTGCTTTTACTTCTACAGATGCAAAATCAGAAAATTTCAAAAAATAATTTTTTGTCGCAAAATGTTGACTTCCTGCTTTTAGATTTCAAATACAGCAATAGTCTTCACGGTTAGGCACACGGCAGTATATTTTTAGTCGTAGTGACTGGCTACGGTTGCATGCACACGGTCAACAGCAGGCAGGTTTCGCATGATAATCATAAATCATTTTGCTTTATGCGGTTCAAATAATAGCAAAGTTCTATCAGGCTAAGCAGGTAATTTTAGTGATTCTATATCAAACCCATATCTCTTGGATACTATGAGATATCAGAATAGGTGATTAACGTGGAATCGCGCAATTTTATTCATAGCGACAGTATTCACATATTTATATAATGATATGTATTTTGTGTATATATTGACATATTATTCATAATGGCAGCATTGATATTTTTATTGTGGCATTCATAGCTACTTGTAGGAAGGCGGGATTTCTGACTGTCCCATGTGTAATTCGGATCAGTCCAGTGTAGCGATGTCCCTTTACATGTGGAAATCGTCTCTCAACAGTCGTTTATCAGGAAGTGTATACAACGCAGGACCGCGTTTGAATAAAAATATATACACTGCGATTGCCATGATCCGTTGGAGAACGATGGACAAAATTTAACCCCGATGTTCTTGGGGGCCTCCCGCTCTATGCAGTACACTGCAGGCTCTTAAATGCCATGTAGCAGTGGCCTGCTTAAATGGTCCCCCTAGGCGTCTAGGAGCGAATAGGCGGTGCAGTAGAGCTGCAGATGTAAAGTGAGAAATAGATTTTTATTTCTTTACACTGTGCATTTTCGCCTATCGATACTTTTAATGTGATTTCTTCAATGGCGGTATCGACAGATTCCCAAAAGCATCAGCGCTATATTTTGTCCACGGTCCTGTTTTACTGGGGTTTGTATTCAGAGTGGTCTTCTCGAAACTGACCTGCCTCAGAATTCCAAAAGGGTATTTTAATCCCTGATTATCACTGCGCTGACTATCCAGTCGTGTCAGGTTTATGGCCTGTCTTCAAGGCGAAGAGAATCCAGTCCAGCAAATTTCGTTTTTGGATATGATCGCTCATATTATCGTTACCCACTCGCCATAATACAAACGCAAATACCGAATTTTCACTTATGGAAAGATTCGAAAATATTGCTCTCTGTAGATTTATATAAAGTTAAAATAGAACAGTGTATTCCTCTAAGATACTCATGACCAATGTCATAAACGCTTAAACAGTAGAAATGATTTAATAAAAACGCGATCATCTGTGGAAGTGTTAATTTAGACTTTGATGCAAATGTCAAATAACCATTAATCATTCTTAATCAAGTTAGGCCACATCATGGACTTGTTTCTGTATATTTGCAGCCATATTTATCATGCCTGTGTTTATATCTATTCATAGTTGTTTCAGTAAATTTTTCTTTTTTCAGAACTCTCTCTGAAGGCCTTCATAAATTTGAAGCGCGTCAAGCTAAAGCGGAGGAAATTCGACAAAAGCTTTTTGAAGACAAGCACCAAAAGCTGCGCGACTTGATTAATCGAGTAGAACGCAGTGTTTTGTTTTCATTTCTTATTCTTTCGCCGTTTCTTGGTAGTGTTGGCTCATATATTCATTTCACTGATGTGAAAATAATCTTATCATAAAGTCAGTGTCAGCCGTGGCGATGCGGACAGTAGACAGCCGCCGAAACGAGGGCTCATATGGTGAGCCGAAGTGTGGTAGTGTATTTACCTGACGCAGTTAACTGCGATAGTAGCCTTGAGGTCGTGCCTTGAAGCTTTGAAGCAGTTGACTGACATGACAATGTTCACCCAGAGATGATGGAATTTCAAACCTTATGTATCAAATCCATAGGTAAGGATTATTCTACTACCGTCTGTAACAATCCCTGAGCAAATCATGGTGCTTTTCGTCTGTTTATCTGCCATATTAATAGATGACATTGGATGACGACTTCTGACAGTAGGCTGAAGAAATGATCGAAGTGATGCTGAAAGGAAAGGGCAATGTTGCTATTCAAATATCGATGGCGGTGAAGTTCTCTTCACTTTACTCACCTAACTGGTGTTGTAACGTAGAACCTACACATTTGTCAACTGCTGCATTGTCAGTTTACCCCATAGTAGGAGAACAGTGTGGAAGAACCTTCCTTTCCGTTACTTTAAAATATTCGTCAAATCTCTTCTCCTCAATCAAGACAGGAGTTCGACTGATCTTCCATATTTGAAGCTATCCACTTTATCCAAATGCCATAAAGTAGATGATGAATGAGAAACAAAGGCGCTCCGTTGACTCTCCAGATCTACCGCTGCAATGTAGATTACCCGGTTTGAAGAGCGACGTATGAAATTGTTGTAAATGTAACATGCTTTGTTTGTGAGTTACAGGACAGCATTTGCCTACATCCTTAATGGCTGTTTCGTTTAGGTAGATGCGGTTAGAAAATTACGCCGTAATCTGATGGAGAAGAAGCGACTGATACTGAACGCGAAATTGGCCAAGGCAGAGCAGAAGCGGAAGTTGCAAATTCAGGCCATTGTCAAGAAGGCACGCGCTGAAGAAGAGAAAGTGAGTACCCCCTTTTGCTTGCTTTAATCGAGATCACTGAACTAAAGATAGTTAACAGCGTATTTTGTCATGGCCGTTGAATGGACATGCTAATGCTGTCACTTATTATAATTGAAAATATGGCAAACTTGTACAGCCTAATATGGTAGAATTATCTGGACCATATACCATAAGTAAAAGTGAACTGTTCTGACGAACTTGCCATGTTGTGATGTGTTGAATAATCTTTACTTGGATGTAATTTCAGTGTCAGTCAATTTATGAACCAACTTTTCGGTTTTTTGATGTATCAGGTCTTATTTCTAGTAGTAAAATTTTCTAGGTTCACGAAGTAGCATTCATCAATACATTGGAAGCTGATAACCGGCGACATGATGTAATGACTCGCCACATTGACCATGCGAACAGGCTTCACAACATACAGGCATGAACATTTGGGTACAGTTATGCACTGTAACATGTTGGTTTTAAGGAAGAAAGACTGCGGAAGTTGGAGGAGAAAGCTGCCCGTGAAGCAGCGGTCGAAGTAAGTGCTGTTTTTCATCCTTACGAGTGTGTAATTTCTGTGTGCGAAATAATTCAATTAAACATGAATTAATACCTCTTCGACTGTCGGATACACCAGAGATTGTCACGTACTACGTGAGTTTTGGAGAGTTAAGCTCATCCAGTGACCTCGCCCGTAAAAGAATTATCCTCCAGATATGAGGTAAATGTCTTGGCGCTCCATTTCATCCACAGATGCTAGTGATTCTGACCATCGCGAATTGCATATCAGGACGGAAAGAATTGATCACAGTTAACTTAACGGTGGCAGCGATAAATTCATTCAAGAGTGATAACGGTGCTGGGAAAAGAGACATCGGATCAATTGAGTTAAAAATCTGAAATTTGATGTCATTTTCGGTCTCACGTGTTTGTGAAAAGGAGCAAACCCATTCGCAAGCTCTATCAGTTATCCCCATTTCTAAAATAAAACGAAACGGTGATTACGATGCTGATCGTTGTGTCTCTTTATAACCTTCATTGCAAGATGTAAGTAAGGTATCTCGAATGTAAACCTTGAGAAGTAGTGTACAATAAGTCACAGAATGAGTAATATATCTATTGTCACTGTCGCATAAGTAAAATCTTTCTCTCAAACATTTTTGAATGGGCTCGATTTGAGACAAAAAGTTATACACACACTTCGTAAATTTTTAACTGTGATGTCCACGGCTGGCTATCTCGATTGAGATCAAGGAAGGTTGATGCAATGTAAGGTAAATGTTTGGTTTTGCGCCGCCTATATCCATCTCTCGCTATTCAGACGTCTGCATGTAGAACAACTTCGATAAATCTGTGAAATTCAACGTGCATCTTAAACAACGCCTACGACACGTCTGGTCGTTTGTGCATTTCGCAGCGTTTGAATATTTTTTTCTGCAAATACAGGTGAATTTTATAGAGCGTGCTACAAATAGAATAATTGACTTCGCTTTAAGTTTATTTTTTCATGAATGCAATTCTTCCGAACCAACTTTTTCTCCCAGGTGCCTAATGGGTCATTTTATCAGATCACCTGTCAGATATTTTCATATCTGCACTGCATACGTGCATATTGCATAACATTTTATTGTTTAAGGTCAGTTTCACTCGTATTTGTGTAGCCAATAAATTAATGCGGAATGTTTCTGCGTATTTCGGTACTCAAATACCATGAAGCAGTTTATTGCCTAGATGATCCTTTGGGCGTATCAATGAAAAGATGATACAACAATGACGTGAAACCTTGTAATATAGTCCTATTTGTTAATTTGTTAGCGTTTTACAGTAATTCAAATATTGCGTTAAATACAACATAGCACAGTGCGCTTAGCGGAAATGTAAGCCTCAAGCAAACGTTTCAGTAAGTTTCTGACAGGCCTACATCTAAGCGTAGTTAGATGTTGTTGTCGTGAGTGGTTGTTTACTCAGGAATGTAAGCTTTCAGTTTAGCCGGCTCTGTTATTAGTTCACAGCCGATGGACGTGATTTGGCCCATTCGTTCTGCGCATAGTACGTAATATGTATTTCTTGGCTTAATAATTTGATCCATATGATTAAATTGGAGCTCAGCCAAAATTGTTCACTGATAACGGTGTTTCTGTCTCATCATGACAGGCATGTCCTTTCTTTATTGGTGTTAATGATCACTGACCTGCCTAAGTTACTGAATTACAATTCCTGCGAAGGTGGTTTATTCGACAGGTTTCTTTCATTCGTTGATTCTTTTTCATAGCCCGCTGCTCCTGTAGGATCGCACTTCAGCAGGTCTCTTGAGTGTTTCCGCCAGTCGGGTAGGATGCACGGACTAGAGTGCAAGTTAAGATTGATTTATTTTAACAAATGATTCAGCTTTGATTGCGTTAATCATTCAAGCCGTTTCCGGTCTCTCTATTGGTGGGCATCCTGCACCACTCGGGTAAGTTCCATATAAGGGATTCCAAGGCGTGACCATTCCAGATGTTCTATAAATTTGCGTCATCTGGTCCGCGGTCTGCCCTTTGCCATGGTCTTCCAGTGTTGTCCAAGAGAATCTGTTACTAATCTCTCCAAAAATCACAGCCGAACAGTTTCGATCTAATGTATGAGCAGCTCACAAGCGACGTTATCTTGGATTTCTGTTGCGATATTCGTTTAGCCTAAAGAAATAAGCTGTTATTCGACTAAGCCTCATTTTTGCGGCTTATATCCTGCATCGCATTCCTTCAATGCCCAGCACTCATGACTGTAGATTATGGTGTAGGGGCAGACGGACTGGAAGAAGAAAAGCTTAACTTTGCTACTCAACTCCTTCATCATCACAGCAGATTAGCTTTGCTGCCGCGCAATCGCTCTTGCTTGGCCAGCTCGTGTCGTATGCATATTTCTACACGCTTCTTGCTGTCATTCGTGAATGGTGGCCCGTCGAAAGCACACAATGACAAATGCACCTACTTGAATACGTCTTAAAATAACACAATGCATATACAGATTTGTCTACACAAATGCAGTATGTACGATTAATGGAAGGACGCTGATCAGTTTACATAATGTGATTACGTTCACAATTTGATGTTGCGTCGGCTTTGGTTTAGATATGAGCTTTGATGCAGGTCTTAACGTGGAAATTTGAAACCTGCGATATGTACGCTTATCTGCACGTATCCCTTAATTGTGTTTTTGTGGGCCGATGTCGATTAGCATATACCGTGATTTATTTCAGAGAAAAACGCATTCACCTATGCGCATTTGTCACAGCGCGCTTTTGACGGGGTGCCCTCTTGACTGTTACTCTATGCTCTGTTTATACTTCATTAACTTGCAGAGCACTCTCGATGAATTTTTTCGAGATTGCCGAAGTTTTAGTTTTGATTCCACAGGTTTTCGTCATGGCTTTATTGCCTTTATCGATCAGATTCACGTTTGAGTTCGTCATGGGAGGACTCAGTCATGAAGCGAATGTCTGCAAACTGCACGTTTCTCAGTCAAACCTATTAAATTCTGTCGTTTTTCCGTTGAAGCCCCTGCTGATCCTCAGTTTAAGTTATTAACTGAATGTGACACAGTACATAACTTTTTACGGTGATCAACTTTCACTTTGGAAAATGTTGTCTTGTTATCATGCAAAAGCCAGTGAGCAGTCTTGTGAAGATTTAATGCGAGATTATAACTCACCATGCACCACATATTCCTGCAACACATTTTGTAGTTTTGATCAGGACACTTCTCTCATACTTGCTGAAGAGTAAAGGTTTGATCCATAATGCTGCGGTTAACATTGCAAGCATAATTTTGTCCCAGAATTTTCGGCTCTACCTTTCCGTTACAGCATCATTCCAAAAGCTTTATGTAATATATGGCAAGTTCGCTAAGCAGTGAGATGGTTCAGTAGCTCTTCCAGTCTCCCCAATCTCCTATATAGAAGAAGGGTATAACCAGCGCAGATTGCAGTAGTATGTTCAAGAATAATGCGCTGTAAAACTGCTGTACTCGAGTCACTGAGTTCCAATGCGCCTGAACACTTTTAGCATGTCAGATCGGACATTGCATTCTATCGCAGCTCTATCACTTTTGATCGATTTAGTGACAGCTGTCACTTTAGACGCTGTTTCAGTTCCAAAATTATGACTTTTTCGACTGTCCGTACAAACTGAATTTAGGGGTTTATCGACGCATTCCGCTTTGTTGGCGGTTTTCATTTAGTGAACCTGAGTTCTTTGTTTATGCGCTTCCTCCTGTTTTCTGCCCAAATGGATGGCGGATCCACTTGTTAAACGGCCCGTTCTGCTGCCACAGTTGAACCATAATGCGCTCAATGTTGGACCATAATTTTTGAGTGAACATCGGTCTTAAGTTAGAAGGATTCTGCTGTTAATTCACAAAAAGATCGGTTTGATATGATCACCTATTAAACGCAGAACCTTGTCCATGTCACCATCGCTTCGTGACTAAATGGTCAATATCAGAGTATGTTGTAGGATTGATGCACACATTGCAATGTGTGTGCACGTATATTCATTAAGTTGTTTATGTAAATTTGGTTATACGCGCAAGTTACTCTGTATAGTTTAAATCTTGTTTGCATAACCATTTTTTCCAAATTCGATTTAGGAAAGGCGAAGGATCACAGAAGAACAGCGGAGACAACAGTTGCTAGAAATTGCCGAACGCACCCGTAAGAGGCAGCAAAAGATTGAGCGTCAAAAGTTCGAGCAGGAGCGAAAAAGGCTTCAACAGTCGCTCGAAAAGTCGAGAGAGCGAGAGGAGCGAAAGGCGGAGATGAAGGCTGCGCAACAAGCGACTTCTGAGCAGCTTCTTCACCGCATTCAGAACCGAGTACGTTTTTTTGCACTTATTGATCTTGAAGATGTTTCATTTTCTATCTGTAAGCTCCCCTTGTTCGCAGCAGATTCTCTGCCGCAGCATGCCTCCTGTCCTTGTCTGCTTCGTCTCCGAGGCATGTTTTCCCCATGCTAAGATAGTGTACATCTCGGCTTTGGTGTGGCCTGTGAGGAAATCTGCTGTAGAAAGTAGAGGAGATTAGTTACGAAATCTGCTGCCGTGCTTCGCCGTTAAATGCGATCCTCTACGTAGGATTTCCGTCCTGCACATAAAATGGGCGCAAAGATTGAATTTATTGGAAAGGAAGGTGAGTGTCTGACTATTTTGATGTAGAATAGTTTACAGTTTTCTGACGGTTGCTTCTTGCTGATGTTTTTTCTTGGATTTTACGGTCCGGCGGCGATCTTCATTTCAACGACATCATGCAGAAATGCTTTATTTTGAAAGGAAATGTCTATTGTTAAGTCTCTACTACATTGCTTACTGTCTTAACCGGTTCCATTCCTGTGTAGGGTATTCATCTGTCTAATTAAGAAGGATGAAAGACAGGCGACTGGGCTGTCATTTATACTCATGCGAATTTCTGATTGGTAGGTCTGCGGTCTACTGACTCTCTGAGCTACCTTTCTAAAATAAATTTGAGGTTCGCTGATTTTGGCAGTGCTGAGTATAATGCCAGTTTTACACAGCATGTACTACGTTGTTTATACTAAGTAATAGGTGTTGTTAAGCACGATAATTCCATTCAGCTGGTTTACGCGACGTTCTTGCATCGTCCCCTTTCTCCCAAATGTCTAAGAATAATTTACGCATGCCATCACGCCTTGGTATAGTGGCAGTTCTTCTACGCGTTGCGTATAGTTTTTACTGATCAGACCTTCTGCTGATTTGGCTTCAGTGCATGAAGAATGCGCCCGTTTCTAAAACAGTGTTGAAGGTTATGTATTGGTTTAACTCATAAACGAGTAACTACGTGTGTAAAATATTATGGTGCTTCGATAATATCTGCATATCCACTTGGGAGTAAGTAGGTGATGTGCAATAAAGCCTTGTAAATAAAGTGAAATGTGACTATTAAAGTATTTGCGGTGTTGGGCTCACTTTTTGGTTCTCTCAGTAGTATTAAATCGTGACGAACCTAATCTCATCGCTAAACGAGTGGATTTTGAATATTAAAATCAAAACTGTCTTTGGTAGCGTTCGATTATTGTTTTCATTTTCACGCTTTCCATAAAACAGCAACATAAATATTTGTCGATTGCATACTTTGCCTAATGATTCTTTAATTAAGGAATCAATGTATTTTGCGACATTTCAAAGTAATAGTTGGTCTAAGCATGAAAATGTTCCAATTATAAAGTAGACACGCGCTCAGCATACAGGTAGTTGTAGTCAAATAGCGTAACAGCTTACTAGGAACGCAGAGCGAGAGATCTGCAAAAGGGGTAGACGCGACGAAATGTTCTACAGTGTTTTCAGGCTCTTTCCGCAAAACAGCGAAACCGTTTGTTTGGTATAATTTTTGCCGTTCTTAACTACTGTTGGTCAACGTACGCTGTCATGTTTCTAGTGCTGCATATTTAGCAGGTGAAAACTTGCCGCCGGTACGAAATGAATCTGGAGTTGATCAAGCATCGAGCGATGGAACTGAGTCTGCCGCACAACACCGTGACGAACGCAGAATTGCTGTTTACCGAGGCTGAACCTGATTCGACGTTAAATTGTTTGACGGCGAACCGAAGCCCATCATCGCTTCACGTTTTTCTGCCTTGGGTTTATTTCGTATTGCGCCTTCCTAAGTGCTTCGTTTCAGGGGTCCAGCGATTGCGCTAGCGAACAAGGTCCGCTTGTTGGTAAAGCCATCCCATTACTTGTATCGGCAAGCAAGCCGGGTCTGAACGTCCGTATTCAGAAGTTGACGACTGATGGGAAGTGTGGCTCCACGCGGTTGGTCTTTTCTTTCGTTTGATTCAACGCTAACCTGTGTTTTATAGGTCCTCTCTGAAGGCTGACGGTACCTGTAGCTTTGATGCAGCAAACGTTTTGAACTCAGGTTCCTCGAAGTTGCTGAGCAGGAAGCGAGCGAAGTTGAAAAGGCTATTTCTTGAAACGTGAGCGATTCCTCTATGTTCGTTTGTTCACACCTGCCCATCCACTCCCTCAGCGACTGATAGGATTATTTCCTAGGAACTGCTGCAGTCATCCCGTGATTAAAATGATATGGACTCAAACGAAGTACCACTTTAACCAAAAGTAAAGAATTAAGTGGCTGCTATAGTGAACTGGCGACAGAAATTACGAATGGGCAATCTCACAGGAAAAGCGTAATGACTTTCATCATGTGTCGCTCTAATAGCTACATTAAGCAGCTGTTTTTCAGCAGTGATATATATATATATAT